TTTTCACTTGTCAAATTACAGAGATCCTAAAGCCCATTCTGCCGTGCTAAGGAAGAACGCCGTATAAGCATTCTGCTGTTGCCAAATGGAGATGTTGCATGTGTGAGGGATTTGCGATTTGACCATTGATTCTTATGTAAAAGTTCGCGCGAAACACGATAGTGCCACTGGTTTTCTCTGAAATCATCTCCCAAGCTCAAAAAAAGCTCTCAAAGTGAGGCCAAAATGGAGGAGATATCTCACCCTACCCTGAGAGTCCATCTCTACATCAAAACAAAATCTCCATGCAAAGATAGGGAGCAAATACATTAGCAGGGTTGCCGTGTTTTCAGTTTTGGAGTCCCCAAATGAAGTGGCAACTTTGCTGATGTATTTGCTCCCTATCTTTGCATGGAAAATTTGTTTTGAGGTGGAGGTGGACTCTCAGGGCAGGGTGGGACATCTCCTCCATTTTGGCCTCACTTTGAGAGCTTTTTTGAGCTTGGGAGATGATTTCAGAGAAAACCAGTGACACCATCGTGTTTCTCGCAAACTTTTACATAAGAATCAATGGTCAAATCGCAAATCCCTCAACATCTCTATTTCTCCCGACAAAATATTTATTTTTTAGGGAAGTTATGCTTATAGTGTGTGCTAACTACTTCAGCCTGAAATGTCATTTTTCCAGTCATTTTATAAAGCGGTTTCGCTGATTCGACTTTTTCCATTCTCAACACGGCCCACGCAACTAACCATCAGATAATCTGAGTATACTTTAATAGACGGGTCAGCGGCAAGGGTCAAAATATTGAAATTCTGAATTAAATATCAAAACCACCTGGTAAGCTAAGAGCGAAACCATTTGTTTTCAAACAAGACAAAGTTTCAGAAGCTATGACCAATTACGTGGATGTGACGATATACACGGGTTTAAATGAGAAATGACACCTGCAGTGAAGTCACATGTGAGGCGGCTTGCATTTTCTCAAATTTAAACAAACTTTGCTCCGTGATCCTACATTGAAAAAAAAAATTGTGAAAAAAATCTTGTAAACTCAGCTTATTTAATATTTTTACATTGGGCAATATAATTTTCTTCACTAAGCCACGACCCTCTGAAGATGAAACAGGTGCGAAAACAGCCATAAATTAAATTTCACAAATGTCCTGCTAAATTGTCGAATGATATTCTGTCGGCTATGTAAAAAAATCGGAAATAAGGAACCGCGATCTAGGGAGTGTGCGATATTTCATTCCGCAAACGAAACAAGCCGGCCTCTTTAGTAGCAGGGACCGTAAAAAGTCTCTTAAAAAACTCGTAAATTTTAATTTAAAAACTCCTAATGAGACTTTTAAATTTACGAAGAAGGAAAGCCTTTCGGGATTTTTCTATGTAAAATTCACGAGAGGTCAAATTTAGGTACAATAATTTTTTTAAAAAACTCTTAAAAATGATACAATGGTTTATAATACTTTTTTGCTTAAATTTTACATTAAAAAATTGTTTAACAAAATCACGTTTTTTTAAAGTTTTCTAACACATGTTTTACTCAAATTTTGCCTCTCATAAATTGTATGTTTAAAAATACCTACGTCGTAAATGTTAACAGTTTTTTAAAGAATCCTTTAGGGACAAATTTTAACAACCATGTTTAGTAGGGCTGAGGAACGTGTGAGAGCTATATATCTTACAAAATCAACATGCTTAGAAATTCAAATTTAAAAGGTACTAATACTACACTCATTTCCATAATTTTGATTTCTATTATTCCAAGTATAAAATAATTTTTTTCTTATTTTTTATCTTTTGTTATGTTTAGTTATCATTTATGAAATCATTAAAAAGTGTAGAGGCCCTTTACGGATAAAAATTCAAATGTATCATAAATTTATACGTGAATCTGAGTTAAATCAAATTAATAATTTTATTGTAGATTTAAGTTCTCCTTCTAACATTTCTTATTTTTGAAATTTTCTCTCACGAGTCATGTCCCATGAGAGATCTCTCGTGGAAATGTTGATAGTTCTATCAGGTGCAGAAGTCCGTTTACGTTGTCTACTTTTAGTTTTCCTTTGAAGAATCGAACACGGCGCGCGCCGCCGCTGGCAAAGGGCTTTTCCTTGCCTATTCCGGTTTCGAGCACAGGGCACAAGCCCAGTGACGCACTCAGCTCCCGACTCGTGACCCAGTGCCACTGGCTCCTGAATTTTATTAACTGACTCCAACAGTCAGTCGGCTCGAATCTCCTTATTTTATTTATTTTTCTCCTATAAATTCTGTCTCCGGTCCCAATGTGACCGTCCACGGGAAAAGAGGCCTTTACGGATTTAAAATACATTTGGGTTGAGCTGGGTTGAAAAATCAGATTTTGAGATTTCACCGAGAAAATTTTTCTAGTTATGCCCGGATTTACAGGTTCAGATGATCGAGGCAGTCACCTCTAGGGGTGGCACATTTCGGGAGGAAAACAATTATTTTAGAATTGCTCGGGGATTTTTCTCTTTTAAACTAGGCGAAATTCGACTAGAAATAAGTCACAGTAGCTACAAAAGGTGTGTTTTTTTATGTATGTAAGAGCCGCGTTTACGGCGCGCTCGGGCGCTCTGCGACGCCTATTCTCCACAGGAATCTGTCATGGTAGAGATCCTCCGGAAGCTGGCATCTCTCCATCTCTTCACGGATGCCCTCTTCTCTCGGTGTTTTTTTTCCTTTTAAAAAAAATTCCAGCAGGAGGTAATCAAAAATTATTTCCATTTTGTTAATTTGTTCAAGCTCACCTTAGAGTAGTTGTAAAACTGCGGAGCGCCTTCATTTTTGTTTGATACCCTAAGCATCACCGCGGAGTTGGTTTTGTTGCTTAACCCAACTCAACCTATCTCGGCTTCATAATCTTTGCCGCCTACTGTTTTTGCGGAAAGAGGGAAAACAACTAAACGAAAAAACTGCTGTTATGATGTCTTGTCTCTTATGTAACAGTACGTCATCACTAAGGTTAATCCTGTCTTTCTGTACGAGGGGCGCATGAGTGCCACAACTCAGACGGATTCGCTCTAAGCCAAGGATTCGCGTTTTTTGCTGAGTTCGGCGGTATCAATGTATCAATTGCCTTCATTCTGGTGAGTATGCAATACTCAGCATTGATGTGTGTACAGCTGCCTATAAGCCAAGTTAAACATCTCGCAATTCCAAAGAAGTCCAGTCGGAACAAATAATCTAATTACACTTTCGAAGACCGATTTAAAATTTCAAGTTAATACGCAAATATTTTCAGAACAATCCGTAAGTGGATCGATGTTAACATGTGTGAGCAGTCAAAGTATTTGTGAATGATTTGTTTCATAATTCCAAAATTTTAAAAAATACATCGTAAAAATACAGTGAAAATTTGAAGCTGAGTAGGAATCACGAGAAAATATGCAAGTCAATTCAATATTATGAAGCAGACTGCATAATGTCTCGCTTGCAGCAATTGTTGCTCAGAGAAATGAAAAACCGCTTACGAAATGAAACTTGCAGGCACACCTTTCTCGAACATCTGCATTCCGTCGTAAATATTACTTGCCTGACAGAAAATTAAACTAAGCTCTACATGGAGACGTTAATACTCCATCCGTGTTTTCATCCAGGCTCGTATAATTTTTCCCTACTAAAACGTTGCCGAATAATTTTTTCCTCGCTTAAATTTCTTTAGCGAAGCAATTGCACCATGATTAGCAGTAGCAAAGTCGCATTTTGGCAAAAAATGAGTTGAGAGCAGTTTTAAACTCAACCAGTCGCAAATTTTTGCCTGTTAAAAATTGAAAGTCGGGAAAAATATTTTGAACATGAAAATAGTCGTGAAACTTTGTCTCTACGGAACATCGAGCCTTGAATAAAACTTCACTTCTCTTTTTCTCGCTTCAAACTTCATGAGTCTTGGCGCGTCTCCGTTAAACTCGGTCCCCAAGCGCAAACGGAGAATAAATACGGACAAAACGATGTGTTAGGAACGAGGGAAATGACAAGAGCATTTTAATGATTAATCGGGCAAAAAATATGCACTTTTGCCATCATTTTACATAGAAGGAAATACCGCAATCTTAATTTTCCATGAAAAGTTTCATCTATAAATGAGAAAATTTCAGAGAAAACACTTGAGGGGCTTGGAGGACAAGGCGCGTAAATGCAGTTTGTAAAAAAATTGACTTATTAAAGATTTCAAGTAAAACTAGTCCTAATGCATATTCTGTGAAAAAGTCGCTCCCAAATTCCAGTTTTTAAGCATCAAAAAGTCAGTTTGAACTTGCTTCCCGCCATAAAGACCCATGTAATTTCAATTTCAAAACTTCAAACACTCATTTCTCGAAATAGCAAAATCTCCACTTATGCACCTTGTCCTCCAAGTCCATCAATTGTTAAAATAAATATTAATAACTATGAAGGAGAAAAGTGAGAAAATTCACAATTTCACTAGTCTATTTCAAGAGAAGCAAAAACAATTTTGACTCTAATTGAAAAAATTTTGGAACTTCTTGGCTTTGTTTTCCCCGCAAAATGATGTGGACCCATCACTATCTCTCCACATTGTTTCAAGAGGAGTATGTATGATAAAAGGTCTACAGGGTGTATAAAAAAAGGAAAAAATATGTTCATTCATCACGATTTGCTTACGCTCATCTAAGAAAAGGTGCAGGAAAAGACGTATTTCTTGCCCTAAAAATAAAAAAATTAAAACTTAAAGTAGATAAGTGATAGAGTTTTCCAGTCAGGAAAAATTATGCATGTTCAACGATTTAATTTTTTAAAAAATTAAAAATGAAGCAGTCGGAAAGAGTCATTTTTCGAATTATTTAATCGTTCCTTTGAGTTTCTCCTTATGCCTAATTTTTTAAGCATACATTACCTTTCTATTCATATCATAATTGATTCTGAACATTTGAGTGTGTGGGAAGTAAACATTTTATAATTGTTTTAAACCATCAAATTCTTAGTTGAAATCAAAAGGAATTGAATTGAATACAATTAAAAGAAAATGACTCACCGTTAAAGAAGATGAAAAGGCCAAAGATGAGGAAGAGGAAGGAGAAGTGAGAGCCCAACTGGCGGAGGTTGATACCAAAAAATGCTGATCCTGACGTCATTTTGATTCCAAGAGAAAGTCTGAGCACTGAAACTTCACTTAAAAATTGGGTGGATCCGAAAATTGATTACTTTAAAATCAACATATAGTGTCACCAATTTTTGAACCCGTTTCTCTGAAAGCTTAACCAGTAATTTTCTCGTAAATATACGCACCTATTTTTTTTTTAAAAAAAAATCGAATGTGTATCTTTTCTTTCAGAAGATTTTAAAAAAGCACCAGATCAGTTCAGGGCAAAGATAATGTTGCTAACAATTTTTCCCCAAAAATTCAAACTCTTCGTTATTGATTGCCTAGAAAAGTCCCCTTTTGGGTACAAATAAAAAATGTATTCTTATTTTTTTGATATTCAACAAAAATGAGGACAACTAAGAGTAGATGCCCGAAAAGCACATCTATTTTTTCTAAAACTTATTCTAAAAGCTTGTTAAACTACGGTATTTTTAGAATTAAATTTGAAGGATAAAATCTCCAGACACGTCCTGCAATCTGTCCTATGATAAATTTTCCTCAAATAAGAGTCATTAAGTCGAATGCGCCCACAAAATAGAGACGAGACTTCTTTAAAATCAGATAGAAACTATCGAGTGGAGTTTTCCGGGCTAGTTTGGGGCTTCTTCGTGTTTTTCGAAAAAAAAAACGGACGCGCGAAGTTTCGGGCGAGAGTCGAAAAAAATCGGGAGCGGGTAACGAGTCAATCCGCGCGCTCCGACGGAACAGACCTGGAGCATCGTGGAGATCTGCAGGAAAAGCTCGGAGGGCTTAGTTCCAAAGCTCGCCGCTGCACCGAGGCGGCAGCACCTGTTCGGGGTATGTGGATTGTGGGCCCTCGTGCAGAGGACTTGTTAACTCCTTCCGGTAGCCAAGGTCCATGGATACCCGGCTCCTCTGTGCACCGATTGCAAGTGTCTGTTTTGACAACAGGTCTAGGTCGCATCATCCAACTTGTGCTCTTGCACAAACTTGCACGATCGATGGAATGCAGCTCTGTCTGGTTTTGGATCCAGGTATTCTCAAGATTTGATGTAGTCTAGCAGAAAGATTGCATATTTCGTTTTTTTCTTTTTTTATTTTATTTTAAACAAAGGATCTGCAACCGGCAGATCCTTTGTTTAAAATAAAATAGAATAAGTAGTATAAGTAGAATAATAAGTAGAATTTCTGGCTGATAGATGTAAAAGAAACATTTTCGTTTCGAGAGTTCCATAGATACCCGGCTACTCTGAGCAAGTGTCTGTTTGGATAACAGGTCTAGGTCGTATCATCCGACTTGCACTCCACTTCCAAACTTGCACGATCGATGAAATGCCGCTCTGTCTTGTTTCGGATCCAGGTATTCTCATGACTTGATGGAGTTTAGCAGAGAGAAGTCATTTTTTTCTTTTTATTTTAAACAAAGGATCTACTTGTTGCAGAATTTCTGGTTTCCGTACTTGAAAAAAAAATTGTTTTGAAATTTTAATTTTAATAAATTGAATAAACTGCAGGGGCGTGGTTTGATTATTTATGATCAAGAAAGTCAACGCTGCACAAATTTTAATTTTTAATTTGTGTGACTTGGCTCTATCCGAAATGCAAAAAGAGTCAAGTCAATCCAGAGATAGGATCCAAGTACACCCTTGTTCGCCAAAAAAATACTTGGTTTCACTGTATCAAATCCGATTCAAAATTCGTGGAAACGTTCTACAGGGCCGATTACCATGATTTTTGCGGTTATCGACGAATAATAGTCCTTAAATGAGACCGCTGTAATCAGATTTTGGAAATAGGACCCAGGTTTTTTCATACAAGACTAAACCAAGGAGCATAAAAAGAGGAGACAAATTTGAAATTTCCGCCAATGAAAAATGGCAAGAATTTCAAATTTAGTGAAAATTGAACCAAGCTGACAGAGCAAGGGAGAATTTTATGAGCGCACGACCTGCCTTTCATTATTACACTTAATCTAGCGTTGAGAGTTCACTTATTACTTCACACGACCAGTGTGTAATTTTAAAAATCGAAAATTTAAAAAAAAATTAACATTATACGAGTTTCTCCGCCAGGAAGTTCTCCAAGCAAGAAATCGTTCACCACCCGCCCGTCGCGAGGCGTCGCTCCGTAGCGTGCTGCCAGCGCGAAACGCCTGCAAACCTAAGGGGCTACTTCACGCATTGCGCAATGCTTGAAGTATCCCCTTAGGTTTGTAGGCGTCAGTGCGCGTTTCGAGCTAGTAGTGGCAGCACGCCGCGCCGCAGCGTGGCATAAAGTTACCCTTAATTACAAGGTCAGGGTATTGAATTGTAGGCAATTTGACATCAAATTCGAAATTAGCGACTCAAAAAAGCATCAGTTACGAAAGTTTTGCGATCTTTCAGCCATTATCCGACTCATTTCTTCCTATTCTTGAGTTTATGACCATAGTGCGCCGCGGGCTGTGGCGCTTATGGAGTTCTCCCCTGTGCTCAATCGGAAATAAGCGGGAAATGTTGAATCTTGGTCTATTAGTGAGGTAAGATAAGTGAACCGAAGGTATGCTTCTTTGTCACATACTATCCGAAACACTGAATTCCGACCGTTCCGTGTCGATTCAGTCTCGGCGTGATATAATAATTGTTCGGTTTGCCGAAGTTTAATAATTGCCGATTTCTTTATTCGGTTCTCATTGGTTCAATCGATCCCGGCTGGAGGGAGATTGGACAAATGAGAGTCAGGGTTGAAAATCTTTGCCTTTTTTTATCGTTCTTTTGTCGCAGTAGAGCGCGAAGCGCCCCCCCCCCCCCNGGGGGGGGGGGGGTTGGGCCGCGTAGCGGCCAAGGGGCATAGCCCCCTTGTTTAATATAACGACTTGATGACCAGGGATACTCGCTCTACCAAAGTGCAGAGGTGTATTATGCCGATTATCCCAGTTTTCAAGACGCAATAGCTCTGTCAATATTGGGCGTAAAATAATTTAGCGTGAGGGAAAAATCCGTCACAAAAAAAAACTCGTCAAATGATTAAGAGAAACTCATTAAACATAAGGCATGGTGAGGATCGCTACTGCACTGAAAAAAAATTCTCGGCGTTTTTACCAAGGTCCGTTGGTACTTTTACCATCTCACTTTGTTTACCAATTATTGGTAATTTTACCAAGACAGACTGGTAAGCTTACCTAAAAACCGGTATTTTTACTGTTTTTTTTTTCAGGTAAGATTACAACTTTTATTAGTAATCAATTCCCGGTAACTTTGCCATTTTATCTCGGTAATTCTACCTCAGTCGATAAAAAATATTGGCGTTTTACCAAGGTCCAGTAAAATTACCGTGAAAGTTCAATAATTTTACCAAGATTTCTCAGTAAAATTACTAATTCCATGAATGGTAATTTTACCAAGAAAAAACTAGGATCAAATAGAACCCTGAATTCTTGGTAATTTTACCCTATTCTTAGTAAATACACCGAGATTTTTTTTTTCAGTGTGGTGGCATAGTTTATATTTTTAAGTTTGTTCCCAGCGACTTCAGAGGAACTTGTAGTTGAGGAGAGCGTTGTTGCAGAGGGTCATCCTGACGAAGGCGGCACCCGGGATCCAGCGTTGACTGGCGACGAGGTCTCTGGCGGCCCAGAAGCTGAAGACGTAGGGGGCTTGGACGCAGAAACAGACGTTGCGAACCCCCGCGAACTCCCGGCACCTGCCCCAGAGGAGCTGGTCGCACTTGTAGCGGGTGGCGCAGTTGACGAAGCGCGCCGCCGCTGCGAGGAATTTGCAGTAGCTGGTGCAGTAGTCGTCGGCCAGACTCCGCAGGAATTCGGCCGTGTCGTTGGTCTTCTTCTGGAAGGCAGTGATGAAGCAAGGGTCCAGCATCTCCGGCAGGAGTAGATCCGTGCCCTCTTTGATGTCTACTCGATGCTGCGCGATGGCCCTCAACTGGGTTTGACGGGCCTGGCCCTGCGCAAAATATGAGTCCACTATTTCATGCGCTCATGCTAGGAACTAACGAAACATGTATCCCTGTTTGCAGCGTTGCACGCCGCGGCATGCCGTGCTGCCAGCGCGAGACGCCTGCAAACTTAAGGGGCTACTTCACGCATTGCGCAATGCTTGAAGTATCCCCTTAGGTTTGTAGGCGTCATTGCGCGTTTCGAGCTGGCAGTGGCAGCACGCCGCACAGTAGATCGAGTAAATGGGAGAGGTCGGACGTTTGGAAACTTTAAAAATTCGTAACTCCGTCCATACAAAACTCTTAGGTTTTAAAAGTGGTTCAATTGGTTTCCTCGTGAAATATTTTCTAGAAGCAGCCCTTCATATTTAAAATGTGATGAAATTAACATCTAAATTTGCAGTTTTAGTCAAGAATTTCATGTCCGACCTATCTGATTGGCTCAATCCGCTGTGCGTTGAAGAATTCCCGTCGTATGTTAGTCTTTTACACCATGACTTAGGCTGTCCATAATGAATCACTAAATACAAAAAGGGCACATGTCCAGAAAACAAATTGTTCAGGAGACACAATAAACTGTGTCTCCTGAACAATTTGGTTTTCTGGACATGTTTCCTTTTTGTATTTAGTGATTCAAATGGACCGCGTTTACCAGTAACGCACCAAGTAGCATTTTGAAGAAAAGAAAAAGAAAAAAAAAGAATTTGAAGTGGTTTTTAATTGGAACACTTAGGTGGAACGGAGGAAAAAGCGCATAAGTGCAGTTTTTTTAACAAACTGAGAAATTCATGAGCTTAACTAAAACTACTTTGAAAATATATTCTGTGAGAAATTCATAACTGAATTCCAATTTTTAGGCATCAAAAATTGAGTTTGAAATTTATTTTTGCCATATGGCTCCATGTAATTTTGAAACTTTAATCACGTATTCTTTGAAATAGCAAAAACAGTACTCATGCGTTTTGTCCTCTGAGCCCATCAATTGAAGATTTTCTCCCGTTAACAATTCAAAGTCCAGAAAAATATTTTAAACGTGAAAATAGCTGTTAAATTTTGTCCTTAACACCACGTACTTTTGGAGGATTGAAACTGAAAACCTCTTTTCCTTGATTCAAACTTGTTGCGGCGTTGAGCTTTTCTGTAAAGCTCGGTCTATATAAGGTCAAGCTTTTCTTCCGATTTTTTTTATCCTCCCTCCTCCGTGCCAGATCCCCGCTGTCCTTCCCACAAAGAACGCAAATCCTACATTGACACTTTCATTTGATGTAACTCATTTCTAAATATTTCTTTTTACGTCTAATTGAGGAGCTTTCCGGAAAAAGGGCACATAGCAAAAAATCGCGTGTGAGAAAAATGCATTTTAAGTTTCCATCATTACTTTTTGGCCACTGGTGGTAACTTCCATCGCAGCTTGAACTGCCGATCTAGAACATAAGTCACAGTCAGTGGCCGTAGAGTAATGATAGAAACTTCAAATTCCTTTTTATTTAAACGCGATTTTTCGCTATGTGCCCTTTTTTCGGAAATCTCCTCAATTAGACATAGAATTGGTATACTTTTTGTCCTTTTTCAAATTGGCGCAAACTATTACTTTTGGGAACTTCCTCTTGTCCTTATTTTTTTCGGCTACACTAGGAATAGCATACCTATGTTCCATTTTCCCTGTGCAAAACTAATGACTAGATACCGCTATTTTGACTCGAAGGAACTCATGTTCCACTCGAAAATATGGAGGAGAAGTTTTAGGAGTACTTACTCTGTACTTAAAGAATCCTTCAAAGGCTGAACGCTGGGCGTCTTGGTACATATTATTCACCACCCGATTTAAGCTGTTCACGAAGGCAGCCAGCCTAGCCATGACTGTTATGTCTGGCTTCATCACGCTTTGTAGGTTCGTGATGCTCAGAAAGTTCACGAAGCTTTCTTTACTGCTGCAGTCCAGCACTTTCTTCTCGCAAAGGTCGTTTACCTTAAAAGTAACATACCTAAGTATTAAAAAACTCAGCAAACCAAATTTTCTAGAACCAACAGTGTCTGCATCATTTAAATCAATAACTAAAAAAAAAAAATATCTTTAGGTCAAACAAAGTGGATAACATACTCATGGTTAATTGAGGGGCTTGGAAGACAAGCCGCATAATGCAGTTTTTGAAAAAATTGAGGTACCTTATAAATTATTTCAAGTAAAACGAGTCCTAATGTATACTATGTAAAAACATTCACTTAAAAATTCCAATTTTTAACCATCCAAAAGTCGGCTTGAACTCTCAGTTTTTCCGTCATAAAAATCTATGTAATTTCGAAATTTCAAACACGTATTCCTCGAAATAGCAAAAACTGCACTTATTCGCCTTATTCTCTAAGCCTCTAAATGTTTAACCCAGCGACGAATTTAAAATCAAAACATACACAATATAGTCAATTACAATTGGATCACATTTCGCAATAAGGAACTATCTTTGCCCCTCCCATAAAAGCACATATCTGCATAGGAAACCGATGGCATGTATGTTGTTTCTAAAATGGGCCAGGAATAGTGGTTCCTTATTTCATAATGTAATCCAATTATTCATTCAGTCAAAAATTCCATGTAAAAAGAAATCTTGCTATTGAAATCATGTTCACATGAAATATATTTTACAACAAATCGCCGTCATTCTTCAATAAATTAAGGCAATTCGCAACAAAGTAAAACTGTTTTAGAATAAATAAATTTAGAGCATAAAATTAAATTTTGAATGTGAAAAAGGAAATAAACTTTATCGAATTGATGGAGATTTAGTTGAAACAAATAATATCAAGTAAAGAAATCTGTTAAAATTTCATTGACACTAATATTCAAGAAAGTTGAAAGTTTTGAATGTTGATGTGACACGATTTTACTCTCTTGAAACTACGGACTTGAAAACGCCTTCGTTTATTTAAGTATGCAATCCTAGAGTACGGGGTGTACATTGATTTGCTGGAGACATTTTTGAAGGCGATTTCGGTCAGACAGGTTAATCGTTTTAGCTATATTAATCTACGCCGGTCATGTGGTTTAATTTTTCGTCACAACCTCAGAATTGCAAGATAGTATAACGTTTGAAAACTGTTCATATTTGTGTTTTAGATGACCTTGCTGACTTTTGAACTACATTTTACAATTAGAAACTAAAATGTCTAGCCCAACCGTTGAAACACTCATGTGCGTAGGGAAATTAATAGCACATACTTTGTTTCTAAGCTGAACCAGAAATCGTAGTCCTTAATTGCAAAATGTAATCCATTTATCCAACTAATTTCAAGAATAAAATTCGAATCTAGCGATGAACGAATGAATGAATGAATGAATGAATGATTTTCATGGCGTAAAAAAAATGAAAATGATGGGCTTGGAGGACAAGGCGCATAAGTGAAGTTTTTGCCCTTTCGAGAAATACGTGTTTGAAGTTTCGAAATTACACGGATCCTCATAGCGGGAAAAAAGTTCAAATTGACTTTTTGATACTGAAAATTGGAATTTGGTAGCGAATTTTTCTCAGAATATGCATTAAGACTAGTTTTACGTGAAATAATTAATATTTCAATTTTTTTCAAAAACTGCTCTTATACGCCTTGTACTTTAAGCCCCTCATGTAGGCGCTTTGACTGAACGAAATATTTGTTCTCTCCGTATATTTCTTGTATAATTGGATTAAATTTTGCGATAAAGGACCACTATCTCTGGCTTTTCCCTATACCACATTTCTGTATAAGGAAACCAATAGCTTACATGTTGTTCCTAAAATGAACTAGTAATAGTGGTTCCTTATGGCAAATATTGGTTCAATTTACCTTCTCATCGTCGTACTGGATCTTTTGGACATCTTCCCGGAAAGGAGGGTAGTCTAGAGGCTGAAAAGGGATGCCAATACGGATAGTACGAGGAGGGTCAGCGTGAGGGACTGACACCGGATCCAACTCAACCCGAACAGCGATGAAGTTGACCGTTCTGTAGATGTTCCGGATGCGCTTCTCATCCGTGTGCCGCTCGCAATGAACATACCTCCACCATACTGCGTCATCAACCCCGTCCATTGCCGACGGGTCGTGGATAGCATGCGGGTTGCCCTCTTTCACCTGAAAGGGGGCAATTTATCAATTAAATTCGTAGTACATCAGCTGCCAGAAACTAGAGGACCAATACTGCCGTGATAGCGAAGAGAGCCGTAATTGCAAAATTTTCGAAATCGAGTTTTCTTCAAAATTCGTCTAAACTCTTTTAGATGAAATTACCGAGACAACTGAAACAGCAAAATTCATCCTAATTTAATGAAAATGAGACGTATAAAAAAGCCGTAAGAGCACAAAAAATGACATAGTTTTTTTCAAGACAGCCCGTAAGTGCATGAGCGCCAATGAAAACAGTGCTTTCCAGTAAAGTGCCGCCCTCTTCTGCCAATTTCTAACCTGCAAATGTGTTTGTTGTGCGTCCTAAACGCAACCACGAAAGCATGCAGAAGATAGCACTTACGGCTGTCTTGCCTAACAATAACCTAGCATGAAAATGAAAAATACCCTTTTTATGTAATGGAAATAAAATCAGTCGATTTTTAATCATCCATACAATTTCTAGGAGTCCTCCAGACGATTAGTGGCAATTTGACAAAGAACGGAGGCCTCTTTCGATGAAATGTTCTTGTCAGAAGCTTCTGAGCCCGTTTTCTCAAAACTTCATTTTTGCACTTACGGCTCTCTTCGCTATCACGGCAGAATAATTGGGTCACGTTTTATAATATGGAACTACTATTTTCGTCTCTTTTTAGACACAATGTATGTGTCCTTAGCAGGGGTAGGAATCTAAATCGGAACCAAAAACCGGAACCCCTGGAACCGTAATATTTGGTTAGAATCGGAACCGGAGCCGAAAGCCGAATAAACAACTTGAGAGAAACCGGAACCGAAAATGGCGAGATTCGTAACCAATATGACAATTAGTGTAAGCTCAGTCATGTAAAGTTCCGACAAAGTCATAATTTTTGCAGCAAATCTGATTATTTTGGCCAGATATAAACAAATTAAGCCTCTACAACGGATTAAAATTAAAATTTGACACAAGATCCTCTCCTCCCTGAGAGATAACAAGATAAATTCTAAAACACGCAAACCTCTTGTTTTCCTAAAGAAAAACTTGGCTCCTTTCTGCTAAACTCGAATCATTTGCTTGGTCTTCTGAATTAGAGAGATGCATCTGAATATTTCATGTGACATCACCTCACCTGTCCCGAAAGTCATCTCATCCAAATAAGTGAGGTCATTAATGTTTTCCAGAGGGACTGAAGAATTTTGGATTTTCAACATCATGCCAAAAACGCCACATGAAAATATTCTCGCTAAAACATACCCACATTATATTGTGCTTCCACGGATTTATACAGAAGTGAACTATAGGTACAAATGAAAGGATTTTACATGGGTGAGTCCGACGTATGCCTTAAGGCGGATTCCGGCATCGCGAACCTACAACCGAGTTGAATCACGTAATTATTGTACTTATTATTTTCACCTCAACCGAGTCAATCTTTGTAAGTTATAGTCCTCATAATTATTGTCTCTTTAAATCTTATTTCACCACTTTCATTGTAGGTAAGTGTAAATGTATTATGCTCTGTATCTTGCGATAATAAACAAAAAAACAAAAAACAAAAAAACATGGGTGAGTACTGAGTACTATAAGGAGGTTACATGCTTACTAACTAACTCACAGATCTAAGTTTCTTGGGAGATCTTCTCCGGCATTCGAAAAGCCAAAGATCATTCTTGTTGCCCTTCTCATTGACCCCTTCGAACTCTACGTAGAACAGAGCGTTGGTAGGTACAAAAGAGAAACCGCAGAAAACAGCCAATAAATATGTTCCCAATTGCATTGAAGTGGACCAAAGCAGAAGACCAAGTTCTAAAAAAGAAGAACGAGAACACTGTTCAAGAAACATAACCATGAACCACTAGACAAGGTACGAAGTTAAGCATTCTGATACATGCTTCGTAACTCAAATTTAACGTAAAACACGATTCGTGCAACGAAAATTACTGAAATTGACTCCTTACCAAGATAATGTTTCTTGACGCGTGAATTCAAACCTCCCGCTCATGAAAACCCAAGGGTCTACGTACGTCAGATCGCAAACTAAACGTTACTGTGGCAGTCGCCGCGATACGGAAATATGGCTACCTCAATCTTGGCGCTTTGGCTCAGCTGTAGCATTTTTTTACACTTTGAACAATTAAGGGTGGGAAATGAACACTGTTGGCCTACCAAAACTGTTGTAGTGGGCGATTTGACTCACGTAGAGTATTGTGTTTCCTGTAACCGGGCACTTCAAATTTCCGGTAACGAATGTAAAATTAAAACGTAAATATCTTAACAAAGAGTTGATTTCAATTATTTTTGATGCAAAAATTGTATTCTACGTAAAATTCTGGTTGGGAAACGTGTATCGGAATGCTTGAATTCGTATACCTTATTTGGATCACTTTTAGCAAAAAGGAACCAGCGCATTTACATTTTTTTCAAAATCGTGCAACTTCTTTTTTTTTTCAGGAATATATGTACAGTATTAAAATTTGCACAATCATTATCCTTTAAAATCAACAATTTTTTTAGCGGAAAGCAAAAATTGTTTGGTATTCTGGGAGATTTTTCAGATAATTATGAAGAAGCAACATTTTTTCAACACTGCAATCGCGCTGGTTCCTTTTTGCTAAATGCGGTCCATTCAGTGGTCTATTAAAGGGTTTCAGGGGCGGATCCAGCAATTTGGCAACAACGAATCCCCTCCATTTAAACCTATGTTAAATAATCGATTCTTGGAGGGGCACTTGGCCCCTCAAAGAATCGATACATATCCATAGGTTTAAATGGAGAAAAACGGTGTTGCCAGTTTGCTGGATCCGCCAATGAAGGGTTTGGGCCAGGGTGGAAGCTTAATCAATGAAAAGAACAGTAAAACTAAGGACAAGAACCTTTCACTGATGTTTCGCTTTTCATTTCTTTCAAGCTCGCTGATGGAAGGGAAAAACTTCCAATTCCTCAATGAGCATCTCAAGACAGCAGACTCGTGCTAAAATCAAAAGAATATTGCAGTATATCGATGGCTACAGTGCGAGACTACGTATCACCGTTTGTGACGATGCAGACTGGAAACACCAATGGGAAATCAGGATTTCGATTGCTCGACGTCAAACTATCGAAATCCTCTTTTCCTATTGGTCTTTCACTTTCAACTAGCGCACAGTGGATCGAATCAACGGAAGAAGTCGGACATGAAACTTTTGACAAAAATTATAAAATTTTACGTTTACCTCATCACAATTTTAATTTTAAGGGGTGCTTTTTATAGACAATTTTAAGAGAAAACCAATGAAACTATTTTTAAAACATCAAAATTGCATATTAATGAAGATATATGCTTTTAAAGTTTCTAAATTATGTCCGACCTCTCCCATTGACTCGATCCACTGTGCAGCGCTTGTAACTCGCAGGTGTATCTGAGCCTTAAGAATATTCTGTATGAATTTCAAGCTATAAAGCCTCTTCGCTAAGCTTCTTCTCCTTCGAAAACATAAACTATAGGCGGAGATTTTGAAACACCGCAGTATAGTTACGCGGTGTCGCACTTTAGCCCTCGATATATCGCTACACTCACGCAAAAATGGTTATAACCTCACTTGCAATCACGTCAAAATATTTGGTATTTTAGATTTTATAATAAAATCGTAACGCAGAAGCGCAAAATTATAATCTAATAATGAAACAATACACGAATTACTCACCTGATTGACTCCTTCTGCACGTCGCACAGGGAACTAACTAAGTCGGGCCTAGGGTGGCTGACTTTTAAAAGTTCAAAAGTCGATGTTCTGGCCATGGGAATTGGGAATGACGTCGAACGTTGAAAAAAGTCGGCGCGAGGTCTGATGATGGAATCCCGGCGGGAAATCGAGGAGTGGGTTTTAAAAAAAGCATCGAATCGAGCTTTTTGCGAACTTTTAGGGGGAAAACTGATGTCATGCAGCGACACATCCACTGAAATGTCAACGTCCAATGGTGCCTACTCATATTCTGCCTTGCTATGGAAAAACGTCGTGTAAACATTCGATAGTTGCCAAATTTCCCTCGATAAAATGGTTAATTTTCAAGAAAACTATGATTTATTTTCCCTTGAAAATTTCAGGAACTTAGGGTGAAATCGTCGTCTCCAGGACGAAGGAACATAATTCTATTCCAAGTTTGCCAAATTGACCCAAACAATTAATTTATTTTACAAAAATGTACATATGCAATTTTCATCAATTTTTTTTTATTTTTGCATGAAATCTGAGGAAAAATCGGTGAAATTTTCATTTGTGGATGCCTAAGATTTTCCTAGTTAAAAACAATTTATGAGTAGAAATTTGGCAACATTGAAATAAAGTTACGTTCTTTCGTGAGGGAAACGACGAAATTGCGAAAAAAAATACCTGAACATTTGAAAGAAAAATATTCATGAGCTCACCAGAAAATTCGTATTTTATTGAAGGAAATTTGGCGACGCATGGAGGTGCATACGGCGTTTTTCCGAAGCCCGTCTGCTCTTGCGCAAAAGAAAATTTTCGAACGCACTCGTCGAACCTGTCACAAATCTATAAATCACTCCTGTCTGGAACTTTTTTTCGACGTAGAGGTTATGTCTTCGCACTTAGTTCGACGGAAATGGGACGCACTCCCGGTTCGATGAGGATCTAATTAGTACTAGATCTTAATTTTCCGCACGGGCGCCATTGCCTGTGGTCGCGTCAAAGTTCGTCATCGGGGGCATCTCCCGAAGATTTGTCAGCGGCCTCTGACTTTCACGCACGTTGACGTTCGAAGCTAGTCGGCCATTATTATGACGTATGAGCCGTCAAAAAGAGTTTTCGCAATGCAGTCTCGATATTGTTCGTCACGAACTGACGTAAGACTTGCAAGTTTATAACCACCAAGAAGATCGTGCAGTGAGGTGCTCTCTGCAGCAGAAAGTTTAGCTGGGGGTCTCTCATCGATATGAGCAAAGTGTAAAAATGCATGGAGAATAAAAGCACGGGGTTGATGGATGATATGGACATTTCCAATTAATTATGGTAGTACCCCGATAAATTAGATTCCTAATCCAATTTTTGCGAGACTACTACAATTGGACCGCGTTAAGCAGAAAGGAACCAAGCCACATCAGCTATTGCCAAATTTAATTGGGCAATTTAATGGGCCTGTTGCAAACTTTTGCTAGAGCAAAACTAAGAGTTGTTTCTTATAGATAATACCTCAAAAATCACGATGAGCGCATCGGCAAAGTCTGAAATGCACTCATAACTTCACAATCTGCGTAAGAAATTTGCGGTTTTTTGAGCTTCCCGCTTCAAAAACGATACTACGGCACAGGTGGACATTTTCTTAGAGGAGTCGTTCCATTGGCGGCAATACTTATCATGGCCGACACCAATCCGCCAAAACACGTGTGATGGGACGAGATAACTCCTGAGCAGGACTAGACCAGATAACAATCGGCGTGTTTACGTTAATCTTTTCCTCGCCCGCCTTAATTGACCTTGAACTCTCCTCGAATTAAGCGAGGAACTGCGCAAGCGTCGGCCATGATGAATATTGCCGACGATGGAGCGACTCCTCTAAATGAATGTTCACCTGTGCCGTAGTATCGTTTTTGAAGCGGGAAGCTCAAAAAAACGCAAATTTCGTACGCAGATTGTGAATTTATGAGTGCATTTCAGACTTTGCCGATGCGCTCATCGTGATTTTTGAGGCAATATCTATAGGAAACAACTCTTAATTCTGCTCTAGCAAAAGTTTGCAACAGGCCCATTCTTCACATGAAAACGGTTGTGCGGATTTTCGTGCAAATTTCAGTGAAAATTCTCCATGGTGCGAAGCGAATTCCTTAAAATTTTCAAAGAAATCCGACCAAACGTTCTCTCGTAAAAAAATTAATTGCCCAGTTAAACTTTGCAATAGCTAATGTGGCTTGGTTCCTTTCTGTTAAACTCGGTCCAATTAATTGGAAACGTCCATATCATCCAACAAATTGGAGTAGTAGAAATACTTCTGAAGTCAGTACAAGAGTTTGTAAAAAAAAATTAACTAAATTTTGGACTCACTTGCGCTTTTGTGTGCAAAAATGTGCGCAAGTGAATCCAAAACATAGCTTAAATTGTTTAAATTGGAGTTAGTACCACAACTTTAGGGGATAACCCCTGACACTTTTTACCGCGCGCATCCCTCAGTTTAAGATGTTAATTCTAGCAATGTTCAATCTGTACATTTGATTTAATTTATTTTCATCACTTGAAAACTGTTTTGAGTCCGTTTTAATACAGATACATCATTTTTTGTGTACGCCGACAAAAACACCGATAATGTGACCAAAGCTCATGTTGCATCGTAAATCGCAGTTTACTATGCATTTTGCATCTACAAACACGATTTTTCCTCGCGAATTTTTTAGCTTATGCTTTATTGTGAACCTATTCCTATCAGAGGATACTATATACACCTGAAGAACACACATTCATGCTCCAAACTTCTCAAATTTTTGGTATTCATGGTCATAGGAATAATTCACTAGAACTTCTTCTCATTCCAATGGAAAGTTGCCCTTGCGACTGGAATTCGAATCTCGAATTTATTGACTGATAGCTAGTCAGACGCCCTGACTACTGTGCCAACAAAGCTAGTTAGATAAACCTCGGATTTTAACAAAATTCTGATGCAATTTTTTTTTGCAATACTTTTTTAAGTGTGAATGATACTGTATCGATTTACTTAAAAAATAAACAAGGTTTTCCGATCCACAAATTTAAAATATTTTAGTATTTTTCAAGTCCAATTTCACCGTCATTGCTGTGTCAATGCTTCCCCTACCTCGCTTTCTGATATTTCTTCTTGATCCAAATTTTGAGAGCCCATATCGTCGCCCCTTTGACGCACCGTGGATCGGGTCAATGGGAGAAGTCGGACAAAATTTGGAAACTTTAAACGCTTATAACTCATTTTATACAAAACTTTGAGGTTCTAAAAAGGGCATCATTGGTTTCCTCGTAAAATTTCCTTCGATATGCACCCTTTGAAATTTAAACTGTGACGAAATTAACATTAAAATTTGCAATTAAAATGTTTTAGTAAAAAATTTCATGTCCGACCTCCCCGATCGACTAGATCCAGTGTGTGACGTAAGGACGTATCCCAATTTCTACGTGAGCCCTGTTCTCCGCATAACTCTACGCTTTCTAGGGCTTATACGAAAATAGAGATACGCCCTTACGTCAAAGGAGCGACGAAATGATAGCATGCAGATCTGTTGAAATAGAGTTCGTTCAACTTCATCAGGTCCCACGACGTATTCGTGCTAAAAGGAGCTATGTAAAAATGAGTTCAACCAAAAGGAACTATGTGCATAGGGTTTAGGTGCTACTTTTAATCATTTGCTCATGATTCCTTTCAGCATAAATCCGTCCACGTGAGCTTCGTGATCGACAGGGCCCCACACGGGTGTAAGCTGCAAAAAAAAACCGCCTACAAAAAACTTTAAAAACTTCCAGCTCCGCGTGATGACTGATTCACGCAAACAATTTTCCCCCGTGTACTATTCATTCTTCAAAAGAGCAAAAAAGCGAAAGCTCATGGCCTATTTTTCGCCTCCTATATGTATGAGCGCGCACGTTAAAAATTGTATGATTGTCCAGTTCGCAAGGTTATCCTCGAATACAGAGATCACCGGCTGGTTATGAGCTTCGACTCCTGATGTCAGTACACGTTGCTCAGTACATTTTCATGAGCTCGAGCGAATGTTCTCGATGGTGGAAGTTGTTGGTTGTATCTTTTGTCGTTGTGTTGTGCTATCGTAGCGTGGCGGGGTCTTTCAGCATCGAGTTCGTGGATTTCAAGCTGTTGGAAACGGATTATGACGGCGCAGTTTTCCTCTATGAATGTGACACTCCCTCGCCAGATTCATCGGTTAGTTGTGAATATTTGATACTGAAACCAACACGGAGAAAAAAACTTGTGTTTTTGTGTTACTTTTGGGTAATATGGGAAAAAAACACAAACCATCCCAAATTGTGTGTTGCTTTTGGTACAGTTTGCGGTGAATTTAGCGCAGAAAATAGTGTACCTAGAGTGGGAAACCCGAGAGTCAATCAAAGGCTCGTGTTGTTTTGTGTTTTACTTCCCGTATTGACCAAACTTTTGTGTTGAGTTTTCTCTCTGTGAACATATGTCACCTGTGATAAATAAACTATCTTATGCCTCCTTTCTTTAATAAGTATCCAACGATTCAAACTGTGTAAAACCCCTCCAAAAAACTATCGCTACCTATGTTTTTCGCAGATATATTTTTACGCCAGTTGAAAAATTTCTAAATCGATCATGACTTCAGTAATGAAACAAGCAGGTGAGTCCAACACGTGATGTTTGAAGTGCGCGTTGGAGGAATATATCGACGGTGAAACTACCAAACCACGTATCTCGTTTGCGGTGTTTAAAAATTTACGGTCACATTTTATTTTTTTGAAGTAGACCAAATCAATATCATTCCTTGAAATTTTCACAGAATTTTCTCCGCACGAAGAGAAAAATTCACAGAAATTTTCAAGACTGGACGTTGAGTAGTTTTTCATTTAAAAAATAAAGTATGACAGGAAGTCTGCGACGTCGCAAACCGAGATACGTGGTTTGGTAGTTTCACCGTCGATATCTGTATTATAATTCTCAATTTTATGCTTATTTTTTTAGTTTTCTGAAGAGTTATAACTGCCTAAAAATACAATTGAAAATTCAGTTAAGGGGTAATTAAGTTATAAATCTGGTCACAGATTTTCAAATATTCCGTTCAAAATTGGATGAAAGTCCAGAGATAGTGACAGAGCGTTCAGTCAGATCGTCTGACAAGCTTTACGAGATCAAACCAATCAGCGCTAGCTGTGTGCGGCAATTTCAAGAAACAATTACATATCTAGAATGCGGCTCGACGAGTGACTTGACGAACTTGCTGAGATAGGGAGATATTCTAGATTCTAGAACCAATCTAGGATCGCGACCCCCAAAGTCGACGACATTTTCCAGGATTCCCCTAGGGTCCAGTGGTTATCGCACTGAAAAAAAATAACGGGCTATATGGACATACCGGCCGTTCCGGGCTCTGAGGCCAAAAATTCCGGGTGCTAGAGCCATAGCTTCGACCGTTCCGGGTTCAGAGGCCGGAACTTTCGGCCTTTGAGGCCAGATTGCGGCATCCAACTTCAAAAACCCCAATAAGTAGGAGCCAAAAATTTCATTAGGCTGACTTCCCTAAGAAAGTGATTTTTCGGAATACTTACGATTAATTCTCCACGTTTTATTTAAAGATTGGTATGAACCATGTGATACGCCTCTGAGAATGACTATACGTATTTTAAAAATGTCTCTCCGCAGATCAAAATAATCTATGCCAATATACAGGACTGAGACCTTAAACATACGCACTCAGGTTGAACACTCGAGCTGATTTTATGGGTGATTATTGAGAGATGAACTCAAGGAACGCTTATGATTGACTCTCGGCGGACGGTATGGCTGCAGGGTGGCAAAATTTCATGAAAAATAAAATCTTTAAATTTCACGTGGAATATACCATGAAATTTTAGAAATTTATAAAAGATATTGAAAAATATCGGTCCCTTTTCAAGTTTCGCGGAATGCAAAAATTGTGACTTTTTCCAATTTTGTGTGTTTAAGTGCGGGTTGCATACTCTAGCCCCTGAAAAATATGGAATATTTCATAGCCTGTGCCGTGAAATTCCATGAAATATTTTACTGAAATTTCCAATGTCTCATTTATTTCTTACGTTTCATGCCACCCTGTGGCTATATAGCCCGTTAGTACGGCTTCCACAATCCACAGCCCAAATAGCAGTGATCGAGAGAAGTGGATATTTTATCGGTTGATTATCGCGATCATATCGGTGGCAATTTATAGCGATATCATCGAATGAAAAATTGAGATTTATGGCGATTGAATCGCTATGCATCTCAATTTTTTGTTAGATGAAATCGCGATCAATTTTCGTCGATAAAATCGAGATTAAATCGCCATGTATAGCGATTTTCGTTTCGTTAATATCGCGATAAATTGCCGGGCGATATAATCGCGATTTTATTGCAACAAGATCGAATATGCTGAAGATTGTAGCGATTTTATCGCCAATAAAATCGCAATACATCGCGATTTTTCCGCTGAAAATGCTACTTGGGGGCCGGAGTTTTTTTTTCAGTACGTCATTGTAAAGTCACCCTGTCTCTAAATGTCGTCTACTCTCTTTTCAGCCGCAAGATAAGTCGATAAGCCCCTCAACGTCCCAGAACCATGGTCTTGTGCTCTTTCGACCGAACTCCCGGAGAAGGGGTGGCGTGGCGTGCAGGCGAGTGGAGAGCCCGGAGAGGCGGCAAGCTATCCTCGCGATGGCCACCTTTTTCTTGGTGCACAACCCCAAATTGGACTTGGGCGAGCGGCTCTTCGACGCGGACACCCGGCTACCCCTGCAGCTCCCGACCCTGGTCAACGTCGGCGTCGAGCTGGACAAGGTTACCGCCGAAGCAAAAGTCCCCAAGTGGAAGACGGCTAACCTCCAAGACACTAAGGAACTCCTCGCTAAGCTCAAGTAAATACTCGATCTTATAAATTTGGACGTATTTCTGCCAAAGGGAACCATGGACGAGTAGAAAATATGGGGTGTGCTCTAGAAAGCTGCATAAAAAACAATGTTACAATGGGCGTGATTCCTTTTAGAGTAATTGAAAATCAGGATTTTACATTCTATTAAACGGAACTATGTGCCATAACTAAGTACAACACTCGTGAGCTTCGGGCATGTGACAGAGCTATGCAGAAAGGGCGCATGAGTTCACGCAGACCATGAGCGACGACGGCGATGTCTTCGTCGCCGCGGACGTCACTGGCGCTTTTAGAGTCCCATTCATTTTTATGGCCCTCGATTAACGAGCACACCCCTTCTTTCCCACCTGTCTCTGGTTCCGCTTGGCAAAAATACGTCCATTTAATAGTCTAGAGTGTCTATGATACTTTTCTACCTCGACGCAACAGAATTGCGATCTCAAAATTGGAGAAAAATGACGAGTAGCTAAAAAAATGGAACCAATTGATGCGATGTATCGCATGCCGTTCTGACACAAAATATGGCGTCCATCGAATCACCTTAAAGGTCTGGACTCAAGATCCAAGCGACTTTTTTTTCCAGTGTGGGATATCTATAAGGTATGCGTCACAATAAAAATTCCCTGATGCAGCACAACTCTCGCCAAAATAGCAATTTTTAAACATGCGCTCTGCGCTCTTCAGAGCGCTTACAAGAGACCTCTACACATGCTTTTACTTTATTTTTCAAACTGACTTTTAATTCAGACACATCCAAGTGTACCTATATTGAGCAAACTTAACCTAAACTATTCTCAAATTTCAAAAATAAGAGACACTTCAACGCGCGTCATTGACAGCGCAGAAATACAACTATTCGCGCTTGATGGATGTCCGTGTTGCATCTGCAAAATTGAAGGCGCGATGGCGCGAGACGTGATTTCACAATCCTTCACTCTACGCTGCTAGTGAGGTGTCGCTCAAATTCGGGAGACGAATTTAAAAAAAAACATGGCCCGATCACGTCTCTCCTATCCCCCAGCTTTGTTGCGCATGTAGTTCTTAAAGCACCACTACAAATAAAACGAACGGAACCAACACAACTTGGAAATAAAGCAGAGGAAAAGACGCGCATTGATAACGGCGCAGAGATACAACTTTTCGTACTTGATGGATGTCCGTGTTGCATCTGCAAAATTGAAGGCGCGATGACATGAGGCGTGAAATCGCGATGCTGAGCCCAAGTCACAGTAGAGACAGTTCCTCTCGATTCAAGTACATTCATTTTCGAGCCCGTGTTTCAAGGTCTGGTATTCTCTCACGTGATGTTTTTGCTCAGGTCCATCCAACTATTGCCGCACATGTGCCCGGACTACTTGGTCAATTTCTTCAGCGTCGCTGACATCAAGACCTTCACTCTCAACTCGCAAGACGTGGTTATGGACCTGGCTGGCTACGTGGCTGTACTCGATAGAATAGTGAAACTTTACTACGAGGACTACTATCGCACCTTCCTCATGTATGTCTTCAAGTATGAGGTAACTTGATTCCAGAAATTATATGCTGGGAAACATGCAAGAATAAATGGATTGCATTTTGCAAAAAGGAACCACTAGCATTGCAATGTTGCTAAGATTGTGCAACTTCTTTTGTCTTGGATGAATATTTAACCCGATCATCCATTAATAGTTTCTATTTTAATCGCTAAAACTGTGAATTTAAGACAAAAATTACCATCTAAATGTCATAGTTTTCCACGATTTTCGCAATTTTATTGCAAAGGATGAAGTTGTACAATCTTAGCATCGTTGCAATGCTAGTGGTTCCTTTTTGCAAAATGCAATCCAAATATCTGTCGAAGGCAAATAGTCAAATCAGGCATTTTGTCAAATGCCGAGGCAAATAGTCAAATATTCTTACTTAGATTAATTTTTTTGATTTTTTACCCTAATTTTAGACAAAATAATTCGTTGTTTCTGCAAGAAAGAATTCTCTGTAGAAATATGCAGCATAAAATAGTATTTAAAGCAAGATCCTGAATGCACATTTCTCATCAAATTTTCAGCACTTCATAGAACATAAAATTTTTACAATTTTAATATTTAAATGTAGTAAAGACATGTAAAAAGGAAGGAATAAGGAAAGTTCGCGGATTTGAAGAGTTTTTCTTCCCAAAATATTGAAAACCCGTGAACTCCTGGCCATGAATTTACAGAATTCCGTAAACTGTCAAAATTTGACTACCGGCCTAGGCATAGTGTAGTTGTAACTCTGGCTTAAACCCTCCCTTCCCCTTGAGAGCGTTGCGTAATACTTCAACCACGTATACTTAAGGTGATGCGACGGTTGCCATTTTTTGTGACAGAGCGACGTGCGATTTATCGCATTAATTCGTTCCATAATTTCAGCTACTTGTCATTCTTTTCAAATTTTGAGATCGCACTTATGTTTTCATGAGACTGAAGACTTATATTTATGACTTATGACTTATGTTCATGTTACTTTCATGAGACTTACGTTTTCATATACCAAAGATAAAGAAATTCAACGTAATAAAGGCAGGGTTTTCGATCTCAAAATTCGAAGAAAATGACAAGTAGCTATAATTATCGAACGCACTGATGCGATATATCGCACGTCACTCTGACACAAAAAATTGCAACCGTCGAATCACCTTAATGCTTCCGGATGATGACTGTTGCAGGTGGACATGCGGCTGAAACGTCGGACCCGCATAAAACTGGTGAGCGCGCTGAATATTGTGCTGCCGAAAATGATGGATCCGTGCTTCATCATGGCGCACCAGACGACGGCAAAGGCTCTGGTGGACGCCAACAAGTCCTGCTCCTCTTATTGCAAAGTTTTGGTCGTCGCTGCTGATATCTATAAGGAGGAGAGCAAAACCTGCAAGACGCGTTGGACCGAGGGCAAGTGCGAGAAAAAGCGATGCATCTGCCTCAAGGTACTCCTCAGATCACTTTCATCGATACCCAAGAGCATTCCAACGTCGCTAACATTGCATCATCTAAACTAGTTTCACCTCTACTCCCAATAAACTATGAATTCAAGACGAAAATTACCGTCGCAAAGTTTACTTTTTGCAAAGAATGTACCTAAGTTGCACAATCCCAGCAACATTGAAATGCTCTTAGTTCCTTTTTGCAAAATGCGATCCAATTGATTGTTGCTGCAAAAAAATAGTTTCCCACAACCTGCTATATACAATGCTCCAGTGACCATGTAAGTTGGCCCGAGCACCAAATTTTCGGGAAGAAAACCTTTCCCCTACCTGGTTTCTCACTTAATATCCGCCCGAGTTTCGCATATCTTCCGTTTCTCCTCATCGCAGCTTCCATTAAACCGCAATCGCCCGGAAACTAGGACCGCACATCTTATCTGATAAAATCGTTCGCCCTTTAGACCGATTCTGGGGGGTGAGGCTAGACTAGTCGATGAGTCAACTGTTGATCTAATTTCATTACGTGAACGTAGAAGAAAAACGGGGTAAAAAATCACTAATGTGTGATCAATTTTCAAGGACAATTCTGTAATTTCTCCTACGATTTTAAATAGATTAAAACGCGTAATATCCAAAATCTAAGCTCAGATTCGGATTCCTCGTGAAAAATTGATGAGATTTCATGTATCATATGTTAGAATAGCGTGAAGGAAAGAGGTTTAATGACGCGTATAGATTCTGTCGTACTTCCCTTTTGAACTACGCCGCCGCGCGCCGGTCGCCCGAGACGCAACCGAACGGGGAGGCGCCGGCCGGCGCTTAAAGCGTTCGGTTTCGTCCCGAGGAATTCCCACGATAAATTCTTATTCTTCCTCCTCCGCTGACCCACTGAGCACTACCCATGTTGCCACGTTGGATTCATATGCTCGAATCAGTATGTCTACGTTACGTCTCTTTCCTTCACGCCAGGCTCGGGTATGATACATGAAATTGCATCGATTTTTAACGAGGAATCCGAATCTGAACTTCGATTTTGGGTATCACGCGTTTTAAGTAAAATTTTTCAACTTCAAAAATCCGAAATGACTGAAGTGGCTTAAAATGCCATCTCGGCTCCTGTTCGATGGATTCTCCTGAAAAAGTACGTGTCAGGGTATGATACATGAAATCGCATCGATTTTTTACGAGGAATCCGAATAATCTGAGCTTCGATTTTGGGGATCACGCGTTTTAAATCAAAATCTGTCAAAATTCAAAATTCGAAAATCCGAAATGGCTTAAAATGCTATCTCGGCCCCTGTTCGATGGATTTTTCTGAAATTCGGTGTCAGGAGGTATTTTTCGACGGGAAACTCGAATTTTTAGTCCATTTTTTAAAATTATCAAATCCAAGATGGCGGACGTGGCCTAAAATGCTATGTCGGCTCCTGTTCGATCGATTTATGGCGCCCCCTTACTACATGCCTACTCTTGTATTTCTGTACAGCCGCAAATTTAAGGTCAAGGGGCGCCTGACCGTCTATGGACCAGGTGGAGTTTTTGTCCTGAAAATTTACCTT